TTCACCTTCTAGTTCTATATCGTGAAGGAAAATCGAGGCAATGAAGGGACATGCGTTGGAGTGTCTCGTTGGCCAGTTCACGATTTTAACCACCGCACTACCTCAGACATGTGGCTGTACCGAGCATATAGTGGCAATCTCTACCATAATGGGGAGCAGACGCTGACACTGACCAGTTTTACCCAAGGGGACTTCATAACATGTGTGTTGGATATGGAGGCAAGAACTATCTCCTTTGGAAAAAATGGAGAAGTATGAATCTTCTATTGCTTATTTATGATATTTGTATACTGTTAAAATTTTTTAACCTGTAATGGTTTTCAAAGCAGTTCACTACAGTAAAACAACATTCAATCAGCAGTTACAAAAAAGCAGTACAGCAGACAAAACAAAGGCATAATACAAACTACCACAAAGTTCTAAGTTTTTGAACTGAAATCAAATGAAAGGGCACAATGAAACAAATCTTTCTAAATTTTGAAAGGAAGGGTAGAGAGTGTGTCAACTTGACCTCGGGGGAACACAAATTCTATAGTGTAAGTGCCACAACTGAACAGACCACGTTCTTCATCGGTGATAATGTAAACCAACCTTTGGCAACTTAGTGCTCTCCAGATGTCGTAGATCAGCCCCAGCGTCAAGCCCCCATCAGTCCTAGCATCAAGCTGAGCTTGATAGGTGATGGTGTTCAAAACGGCTGGAGGTCACCAGGTTGGGGAAGGCTTATCTAAACTTTTAAATTGATGCTAAATGAAGCATGACCTGATGGTAATCAGTAAGGAAGTGCTCCTTGCAAAATTGGTGACTGACATAATCAGTTTGCTGTCTACTATCTCCCCCCCCTCCCCCCCAGGAACCAAAACTGGCCTTTGAAGATGTGGATGCTGCAGAATTATACCCATGTGTGATGTTTTATAGCAGTAATCCTGGAGAAAAGGTAAGCTGGATATTTAGCAATAGTGGTAAAGGTTAATATGCTGTTTTGGTAAGGGCCTATGAGTATAATATGTGGAATAAATTGAGCATTTTTAGCTGTGTATGTGTGTGTTTGTGCGTGCGTGCGTACATACATACATGTTTATATGGAATTGGTCTATTTAAACAGTATTTTATGTTGCTACTGATAGATGTTCTTCAGAGTATCAGGCAGAAGTCTTTTTCAGCCCTGCTATCTGAAATTCTTTTGCCAGGGCTGAATCAGGGATTCCTTTACATGCAAGAAGACAACACCCCCCAACACCCTCAGCCAAGCTTGTTCTAGCCCCTTCCTTCTCTCTTCCCTACTCCTGACAACATTTGGATACAGCAAGCTTGGCAGGCCAGGGAAAATAAAAGGCCTGGGCAGTCCTGACATCTCTCAACTTGTCTTACTGTCCTTGCTGAGCTGAGAGCACTCGCAAGTCCAACATAGCCAGGAATAGGAAATTAGGGGGAAGGTTGTGTCCACAGAGCTTTCTCAATACTCCTCCCCTCTGCTCCACTTCTACTAAGACAGAGTGCTGGGACATGATGGAGCACACCTTCATAACCGGCTTCCAAACTTAAATGTCCCAGGGTATGGTCTGAAGGCCTTTGCTGAAGCTAAGCAGATCTGGGTCTGGTCAGTGCTTGGAAACCATATGCATTCTGCCATGGTTTCCATGATGAAAGAAGGCAGGATATAAAATTAAATAATTTGTTACATGTTTGTAAATATATCTATATTTTGAAATCATCTGTAACGGCGTGGAAGAATCACTGAGATGTCAAAAATTGACTCATGTGCTTGTCAATATAGTTGGGTAAACTCTTCCTCATTGCTACAACCTCTCACTAAAGCTCATAGAAGTCTGTTTTGTAGCAGACCTGCAATATTGGTGAACATTACAAAAAATAAACCCTTTCTGATTCGTTTAGAAGATTTCTTATTTGCAAATAAATTTTACCAAAAACCTGAGAATCCAGCTCAGTGAATTTCCTTGTGTGTCTGTGTGCATAGGTAAAAATCTGTGACATGCAGATGCGTGGCACCCCGAGGGATTTGCTGCCAGGAGACCCCATTTGCAGCCCTGTTGCTGCCGTGCTTGCAGAGGCCACAATTCAGCTTATCCGCATCCTCCATCGAACAGACCGGTGGACACATTGCATCAATAAGAAAATGATGGAGCGGCTGCACAAGCTCAAAGCATGCCTTAAAGAGGCAGGTCAGAAACTGAAGAAAAGCCGCTCTGTTCAAAGTCGAGAGGAGAATGAGGCACGAGAGGAGAAGGAGAGCAAGGAGGAGGAGAAAGGCAGACATGGCAGTCGGCATGGGTTGGCAGATCTCTCAGAGCTCCAGCTGAAGACCTTGTGTGTGGAGGTGTGGCCAGTCCTGGCAGTGATTGGTGGAGTGGATGCTGGGCTTAGAGTTGGAGGCCGCTGTGTTCACCGGCAAACTGGGCGGCATGCCACCTTGCTTGGAGTGGTCAAAGAAGGCAGCACGTCTGCCAAGGTGCAGTGGGACGAAGCTGAGATTACAATCAGGTATAGTGTTTTCAGTATTGGTGTTAGACAAGTGGCCAGTTGTTAGTGCTTAGGAAATGTCACTGACTTTTAAAATGTGAGATAGTAGTTGCTAATACTAGTAGCCAGTTAAATATCAGACAGCTCAACCTGGAAATAAATTTCTTGTAACCTTTTGCTACTGTGAGTTTTGAGGCCATTGCTTTGTAACATTAGGGAGTGTTATTTATGACATTTGGACTATAAGCTAAGTAATGTCTGAATGATGGTATCAAGTGCCTTGTGGCACCTTAGAAGGTAACACATCTCTTGTGGCATATTCTGTGAGCCCTCAGAAACTTCTGCCAGAATAGGTTTTTTTTAACACTTTAAAGTGCTGCTAAGTTTATGTTTTGCATTTTTATTTTGTGAAAATATCTTAGGGGGCATGCCACCTCCCTACTTAGTGCCAGAAGCCAGTTGAGATCCCAGGGTGCTTTCGTCCATTAGGAAACATTTTCCAAAACAAACGTGTCTAATATAGCAAAAACTTCCTCAGTATTTTATGATTACCTTTGTTGGGTATTTGGAATGAACTGTTTTGTTTGAAACAGCACACTCATTTTTTGTTACCTTCTGCACTGAGTATCATCTCTCCCCATTATCTGATCATAACCCTCATTCCCTCCCACTCCCCACCCCCGGTTTACATTTACTTTTTTAGACTATCAATTCATTTAGATTTTGATTAAATATATTTTATGTCTTATTTTGCCTACATTATTTCCCGTGCTTTCCTCCTGTCTATCCCTCACTTGCTTCTTCCTGTGTCATTCTGATCTTTATTAAAGCTTCCCAACTTTTTGGTCGCCTAGTGACACGCCATTGTATAATCTGGAACCTTGCGAACCGCTGCCTTTTGATGTTGCAAGATTCCGTGGACTGACAGCCACTGTGTTGCTGGACCTCACCTTCCTGACTGGCATCCATGAAGACATGGGGAAGCAAAGCGTCAAGCGACATGAGAAGAAACACAAGCATGATGCAGAAGACAAAGGAGATGTTGACCAGAGAACAGAAGGTGACTCTGGATCGGATGCTCGGTCGGTGCCAAGCACTGAGGAGATCAAAGGCCATGGAGCTACAAGTTCAAAATCCGAAAATGAAATTGCTTCGTTTTCCTTAGAATCTGTTTCCTTGGGCGTGGAGAGCCAGCATCCAAATGCCGAAGGCAAAAGGAAGACTCATGAACATGCCTCCAAGAATCATGATGCTGTACAATCAGAAATCAGAGCAGTGCAGTTGTCTTATCTTTACCTTGGTGCTATGAAATCGCTTAGCACTCTCCTTAGTTGTAGTAAATATGCTGAATTGTTACTGATACCAAAGGTCCTGGCAGAGAGTGGCCATAATTCTGATTGTGCGAGTTCGCCCATTGTTCACGAAGATGTGGAAATGCGTGCTGCCTTGCAGTTCTTGATGCGCCATATGGTGAAACGGGCAGTCATGCGCTCACCTATCAAGAGGGCACTAGGACTGGCTGATTTGGAACGGGCACAAGCAATGATCTACAAATTAGTGGTTCACGGGCTGTTGGAGGACCAGTGTGGCAGCAAAATTAAGCAAGGTACACTTTAATTATGCAAGTGTATAGATGTTAATTTGAACATACCCTTTTCCTAATATTTGTGCCTGTGAAAAGCCAGCAATACTGTTATGTTGTTCCTGCAGAGCCAGTGTGATATTGTGTATTGTGGTGCTACACTGGTACAAGAACTGCAGTTGGTGTGCAGCGCCCTAGCCATTTACTTTGCTTTGTGTTAGTCAGTCTGTCTTGTTGGTCTCTGCCATAACTAAAGGTAGCTGCTATCATGCTGACCAATAGCCTTACCTTGTTCATTCACTTTCCATGTCCTTTAGCTTAATTAAAGAAAACTAAGGAGTCATTTTTTAAAAAAAACTATAAGCTTGGCCGTTGCATTAAATGACAGCTTTCTAAAATTCTTCTAGTTAGTGTAACATACTCTGGCTAGCCTGCAGGAGGTGTCTGCAAACAATGACTTGACTCTTTGCGCAGCTTAGGAGTGGTAGGATCACATCACATGACAAAGATTTGTGGAGAGAAAGCAGCTCCTGTGACCCTCCCTAGTTTCTTACCTTGATCTCTGCTCCTCTAGATGAGCATCAGTGTTTTAACAATAGTGTAAACTACCATAGCATTATTTGAGTGTGCTTGCACAAATAATCATATGACATTTCCCCCTTTTACCTGTACATCACAAAGTTCTTTGATTATTTGAATTCAATTCGATATGGTAGAGGGTGGTTCCTATTGTGCAAGGGCATATGTTTTACATGCAGAAAACCCCATAGTCAACCCATGGCATCACCACTTGTAAGGATCTTGGGTAGTGGACCTGTGAAAGACATCTGTTTGCCTGAGAATTTGGGAAAACTGCTACCAGTCTTGAGTAGCAGTTTCAGCATAAGATATGTGGGTGGAACTAGTTGTCTGATTAAAAGTGGTTGCAACCACTTGGGGAAATGTTGCAGCTCAGTGGTAAAGCCATTTGCTTTTGCATGCAGAGTGCCCCAGGTTCAGCCCCTGGCATCTCCAGGGGGAGGCTGGGAAAGACCCCTTCATGAAACCCTAGAGAGCTGCTGCCAGTCGTCATAGGCAGTACTCCTCTAGAAATGGCAGAAGGGAAGGTACTTAATGCCTTCTGCAAATCCCCCCCCCCAGCTGGTCTGGTTTTGATGCATGGTTGGGGGGGGGGGGACGACGACAACTTGTGAAAATGTGTTCAGGATATGGAAAAGTACTCACCTCCTACCCAGCAATTATCTCCTGTACTCACAGTATTGTTCCATCTTGTTCTGCCCTGAATCATTATTTTCCCCTGAAGGCCTCTCACATGGCTGCTGTCTTCAGGCTTCTCCAGTGATGGACTGGAGATGTTTCTGTCTCCACAGAACCCATCAGTGAATGAAAGGCTGGGCCAAAGAATCCCCCTGGTCTGTGTTCTGAGCTAAGGTTGCAGTTGTCCTTTCAGCACTCATGTCTCCAGTTGAGGAGCATTTGCCTGCATTGTGCTAGAGCATGTGGGGAGTTGGCAGGGGGCGCGGTGGCAATTGGCTTCACATTCTGCTTTGGAGTGTCCCAAGGATACCTTTCTGGCTACTGCTGGAATACTTGATTATCATTTACTGTTTATTTATTATTTTGGTTCCTAGACCCCTCTTCATCAGCTCATGATCCTAGGGCAGGTTACAGCAACATAATTCACATAAAAACAATTTAAAATTTAAAATAAAAATGTACAATATCAATGTACAACCCCTCCCCCAAAAAAGTCAATTCATTTTCAGCTGGCCCCCTCTGAAAGCTTGGGCAAATAAGCATGCCTTTAATTAGTGCAGAATGATGAATAATGATAGCACCAGCCCATATATTAGGAAGAAGGGTGCTCCATAAAGTTTAGGTCTGAAGGGATCGTTCCTTGTGATATGGCATGTTCTAACAGAATAAATATCAGCCACCCAACCCTTCATTCAACAATCAAAACTTTAGAACCACATAGAAGAATGTAAGGAGAGTTCTACAGGAGAAGGCAAAGTGGCCTATTTCCCATGTTTGCTAAGAAGATGCCTTCAGGAGGCCCACATGTATTCATTCCCAGGTATGCTGCAGTTGCCTGTAAAAATAAGCGTATCTGTATAGCTATATTTTTATTCCAATCAGTGTCTATACTAGATTTCATTTTTTTAAATGTACACAATATTTTAAACTTTGTGTAAATGCCATTGTTTTGAGTATGTGTTTGTTGTATTGTGAAATTGCTTCAAGGTGCTTTATAGGGAGCAAGTCATAAATGAAATTTTTAAAAGCTAAATGATATGGAAAAACATTAAATTGTTCTGCAGAAGTGGACCAGCAAGCAGAAGAAAACGACCAAGCTCAGCAGGCCCAGACACCTGTGACGACGAGTCCTTCAGCCTCTAGTACGACATCTTTCATGAGCAGCTCTCTAGAAGATACAACAACTGCCACCACTCCAGTGACTGATACAGAAACTGTGCCTGCCTCTGAGTCCCCTGGTGTTTTGCCTCTTAGCCTTCTTAGGTATGGATTGACATCTGATCTTGCTTTTCATAAACAATCCAGCCAAGTTTGTAATCATTTTTTATCTTGATAAGTTTTCACCGAAAGATAGATTTCATTTTCTGAAAATGTTTGCAAATCGTTTAACTAAAGTAGCAAGAAGCAGTATATCTTTTTATAAAAGGCTGTTCCCTTCCTACTTTCAACAATAAAACTGTGTGTTTTTTTACTTGCTGACTAATGGTGCCAGACGTAATAGTGTTGAGTTGGGTTGTCATCACTCACAAAATAGGTTGTGCCTATTGAACCCTCAGGCTGTTTTCAAATCTTTTAAATTTGAAGGAGGCTTGTTTAGGAAGGAGAGATGGTGAGGAATGGATCCTACTTTTGCTGACATCCATACGCATCCCATTGGTGGGTTACAGCTATCACCATGTAATATTAGAAATACAGGTATTTATCTTGTTTGTTGGTATGCCTTGCACTGCTATCCATTGTTTTACCTTTTTTATTTATATATTTTTAAAAGGCAAATGTTCTCCAGTTACCCAACTACTACTGTACTCCCAACAAGACGTGCACAAACGCCTCCCATATCCTCTTTGCCAACATCTCCTTCTGATGAAGTAGGCAGGAGACAATCACTGACCTCTCCTGATTCTCAGTCTGCAAGACCTGCCAATCGGACAGGTAGGTTTCGTCCATTGCCTTAGTAAGGTTTATATATATATTGCAACTCAATTTTGTCCTTCTCATATCCGTACTGAAATTTGTGTGTTTACTATCACTGTATGTGCCCTCAGCTGGTCAAGGCATCAATGCCAGGGAATGCTAATGGTTTAACCTCTTAATACTAAAACATTCATTGGCAGATACGTGGAAGATATTACTACTCCCCCCCTTTTTGTAGTAACAAAAAGATGTAACTGTACTTTGTACAATTATATACAAGACTAAGCATATTAGGGAAAAATGCATACAAATATGTATGTGTTTGGGGAAATGCAGCCAAAATAAATGATTTTGAGCTTTTGTAGCCTGACTGAATAAGTTGCAGGATGAATTATGAAGGAGATGGTGCTGATTTGCCATTCATTCTTTTTCCACAATCCACAGCTTTGTCGGACCCAAGCAGCCGCCTTTCAACTTCCCCCCCTCCACCAGCTATTGCTGTGCCCTTGTTAGAAATGGGCTTCTCCCTACGGCAGATTGCGAAAGCAATGGAAGCCACAGGTAATCCTTCTGCTGTCAAGGAATATGCACTGCACCGCTTTGTCAGAGAGAGAGAGAGAGAGAGCGCATGTGTGAGTGTGAGCACAAGTAACAAGCCAATTAGGCTCTGAAGTGTCATAGCTTTCTTTTTCATTAAAGGGTTTGCTCTTTGTTGTCAAATATTAGTCTGTAAAGTGTGATGGGGACAAGCACTCCCTTGAAGTTGCTCAAGGAATAAGAGCCCAGGATCAAATAGTAGAAGGTGCTGAACAACCACCCACCAAAAGTTCTTGGTTTCTTCGGATTTCCAAGCACACTCAAGTTTTTCTCTGCAGTTGTAAGAAGGAGGGACTGCTCTTAAAAGAGGTGAAGGCAAGATGCTCTGGATGTTGGGTGTTGCATCAGCTATCAAGCTGCATGTAACAAAACTTTGGAAAGAGTTTCTGTCATGAACTTTTGGAATTCATATTCATTTCTAACAGAGGGCATTCCTGTTTTCGTAATTGGGTGTCATTTCATAAGATTTTTCTTTCTTAGGTGCAAGAGGAGAAGCAGATGCTCAAAACATTACAGTCTTAGCAATGTGGATGATAGAGCATCCTGGGAATGAGGAAGACGAAGACCCTCAGTCAGAAGAAACAGCCGATTCCCTCCATGGCACTGTAGTTTCTGGGGGCAGCGGGAAGTCAAGTGATCAGTGTTACTTGCAGTCTCCCGGTGACATTCCTTCAGCTGATGCCACTGAAATGGAGGAAGGTTTTAGCGAAAGGTAAAATGTTAGTTTCTTTAGGTTTCAAACCTTAATGGGACTGTAAGTATTAGTTTTCCATACAATAGTACTCCCCAGCACATTCATTCATTCATTTTGTATACCACCCTTTATCCAGAGATCTCAGGGTGACTGGCAACATAAAATTACATGATAAAAAATAGAACACAAGCAAACCAATAATTGCCCCTCCCACAACACATTTAAAAGGGCATCAGATGTCAATCAGCCAAAGGCCTGGTTAAAGAACATTTTCACCTAGTGCCTAAAGATGTATAATAAAGCCGCCAGCCAAATCTCCCTGGGGGGAGCAAGAAAAGCCCATTCTCATGCTGCCACCTTCCAGACCTCTCATGGAGCAGGCACAGGAAGAAGTGCTTCAGAGGATGATCTCAGGGTCCAGGTAGGTTCATATGGAGAGAAGTGGTCCTTGAGGTATTGAAATCCTGAGCTGCTTAAGGCTTTATATGTCAAAACCAGCACTTTGAATTGGGCCCAGAAACTATTTGGCAGCCAGTGCACTCAGCCCAGGATTGGTGTAATATGCTCAAACCATGTTGCCCCGGTGAGCAGCCTAGCCGCCGAATTCTGCACCAGCTGCCATTTCTGAACTGTCTTCAGAGGCACCCCTACATATAACGCATTGCAGTAATCTAACCTAGAGGATACCAACCATAGACAACAAAAGTTAGGCTATCCCTGTCCAGATAGGGGCGCAGCTAGGCCACCAGCCAAAGCTGATAGAACACACTCTGCACCACTGAGGCCGCCTGAGCCTCAAGTGACAGCAAAGGACCCACTCCTTCAAGAGCAGGCAACTTCCCAGCCATCTGGTCTAGGGAACCACCCACTAACAGTGCCTCAGTCTTATCTAGATTGAGCTTCAGTTTGTTGGCTCTCATCCATGTTTACTATTAAAATATGCAATATGGTTATTTTTAAAATATGCATTAGTTTTTTAAAATCAGTCTATCTTAGATGGGATTAGAGAAACCCATGGAGGCCAAGTCTGTTAACCAATAGTTCAGAGCAGTGTTGCCCAATCAGGTTTCTCCAGCTGTTTGGAACTACAAGCCTCGTCAGCCACAGCCAGCTCAGGCTTGTTGACTGCTGTGAGAAATAGAGTGCTGACTAGCTCAGCAGGGCTCTTCTGTTCTCAAATATTTTCTGAAAAATCTGTCTTAAGAGGCAAGACACAAAAGGCATTATATGTCTCTTCCCTACATAAGAACCCCAGAAACCTGTCGCTTGAGAGAGAGAGATCAATCAAGTGCTGTTCTAACATGTGCCTAACTTATACTTACTCTCCACAAACATAATCACACCAAGTTGTTTATTACAAGAAAGAAAGCATATGGAGATCCAATTTTCACAGTAGAAGAACTAATGCATTCACATTCCTGATCTAAATAAAGACCCTAATCTGTGGTAAAGCAAAAGTGACTGAGCGTATTATGAGTTATACATTCAGAAGTTAGAAATAAAAGCAGAGCTATACATTTCTCCAGTTCTAGTTACAGCAGTCCTACAATGGAGCAAATAACTGGCGATTGGGACCTAATTTAGTAGAAGTCAAGGCCTCTGTGCTTTATGAGAGTTAGGCTATCTACAACAAGCGCTTAGGCAATATAAACATTACCCCCTTCTTGGTCCGATGTCCAATCTGGATTAATGTTAATGAATACTTGACACATTTCAATATTTCTAAACTATTTGTACATTTCAGCCATGATAGTATGGAACACGTAGAAAATGCAGCATCTGGAAGTGGACCCACCTCAAGGGGTCGATCAGCAGTGACCAGGAGGCACAAATTTGACTTAGCTGCTCGGACGCTGCTAGCCCGTGCTGGTAGGTCTTTGAAAATATTTTTCAACACCCTTTTCTTTTCATCCCTGCTGAAGAGGGCATGTACTCTGTAGCAAGAACTTTAAATGTGTTCTGCTAGCCTTGTATGTGTCAGTGTGTATGTTAACTTTTTCATATGTGTGTGTATAATAGAGCAGTTTCTAATCTTGTCAGAATGGTGTGGTTAAGAAACAGAACCCAGAGTGGGACTTACATAGAAATGATGAAGATTTTTGTGGCTGATAAGTTTCGTGTGACAATGTAAATTGAGGTGCCATCAACCCAAACTGTTGGGGCTAGGGAAGGAAGCCCTGCTTTTGGAGTCAGGGGACCAAGGATAGTCCTTATATTTGCCCCTGCTTCCCCATGTAAGTGAATGACATCTGTTCTTTGGGGCCTGGTGGTGCTGGTGTTGGCCAGTGAATGAGAGTAGCACAGTGTGTCTCACTTTGAAATGTGAATGACATCTCTCCTAAGAGGTCCTGCAGTTTAAGTGTCCTTATCCATCACAGCACCCATTTTGCTAAGTTGCAGCTTTGACCATAGCTAGCATGTACTGCTACTACTAACCCGCAAAACAAACTGTGTGCTTCTTTTCTCTCTCTCTGATTTAAGCGGGATTGTACCGCTCTGTACAGGCGCACAGGAATCAGAGCCGGAGAGAAGGGATCTCCTTGCCACAAGACCCTGGAGCGTTGTATGACTTCAACTTGGATGAGGAGTTAGAAATTGACTTGGATGATGAAGCCATGGAAGCCATGTTTGGGCAGGATCTTGCCAGTGATAATGACATTCTAGGAATGTGGATCCCGGAGGTATTGGATTGGCCTACCTGGGTGTGTGTGATTGCAGCTGGGGCTGCTTTGCTTATTACTTGCTTTCTAGGAAATGAAATAACATTATGCATTACCTAAGCAATTGTTTTATTAACATTATTGCTGCTAACCCTTATTTGGATGGTTCCAGGCTCTTAACAGCACAAGTGAATATCGTCATGTAGTTCTCATTGGTACATTTCACGTGAAACAGTTTCTCTTTACTTTGACTGCTTTCCCATTTGCCAGCTGTCTTTTCTGCTAATTAAGTCACTTGACATTTTAAAGGAAAAACAGGCAAGCTGTAAAAAAGTTTTTTAGACAGTTGCATGATTTCATTCATCAGAGATGATGAGTGGCTAATATTCCCCTAAATCAGGGGTAGGAAAACTCTGGCCTGTAGGCCCAAGTGGCACCCCTGCCCCCAGGCAGGCCAGTTTGGCCATGCACACCTACCCCACACCTGATGTCATGTTTGATGTCAGCTGTGAGGGCGGGTGAAGTCATGGCTGGGACAAATTAGGGCTTGAAGTCATCCAAACACGGCCAAAAATCAGCCTCAAAGAGCAGCCCCAAACATCAGCTGGAATTATCTACATTGGAACAGTACATTTCTTTTTTAAAAATAATAATAATAATTATCCAACCTGGTATGCTCCAGGTGGTTTGGACTACATCTCCCCCTGAACTCATCCAGCGTGGTTACCCTTAACAACTGGAGGCCAGCATTGGGGAAGGCTGTTGTAGAACTTCTATTTTGAACAGAATGACGGTTATGCAAGAGCTCTCCAGTGTGAGAGAAATTCATTGAAGATTGTACCTTGTTTAATGCTTTGGGAATATGCTAAATTGCTTCTAGTTACAATATCCTGTATAGTTTCAATGCAACAGTTGCTGCTTAAAGTGCTTCTCAGATTGAGATGATCATTGTGCGCTTTGATGTTTTCACAGCAGTGTTCATATATGTTTTGCTGCCTCTTCAAGTAAGCAGGTGTCTTTGGCTTAGCATCTTGCTGAAGGTGCTGAAAACCATAGGCTTTAAAGATGTCTAGTGCTATGCTTGAGTAGTGAAAACATAATTGCCCTTATTTTGAATTAGGATCTAACAAATGCACCCAAATTTATTGGGCTGTAGCTCAGTGGTAGAGCACTTGCTTTGCATGCAGAAGGTCCCAGGTTCAATCCTTGACATACCCAGGTAGGGTGGGAAGAGACCTCTTGCCTGAATCCCTAAAGAGCCACTGCCAGTCAGTGTAGACAATACTGAGCTAGATGGACTAGGGGGTCTGACTTTCTCTGTTCTGGTGCTCTCTGATCACTTTCAAGGAAAAGTAAATAGTGCAGTAGTGTCTGTAGAATGATGAGGCTTTTGAGCCAATCTGCACATTAAACAGAATGAGGTGGCAAACTAGGCTGCCTCAAATTTCAGGGAGCTGGCCTCAGGTATTTGAACGCTCTATGCTTATAGTAAATTAGTTCATCAGGAAGAAAGATGCTAAACTTTTCTTCCTTGTGAGTTAATTTACTAAGTGAAGGAAGCTTTTTATGGACCACCCTTCCCCCAGAAATATGACCCTGCAGTTGTAGTGGTACAGTCCAGAATTCTACCACCATCTACATCCTCATTTTGCCTAAATGTATTGAGCAGTTCTTACTTTAGGCTTTTCCTTTCAATTGCAAGAAAAAAAGTATTTTTCCTGCTAATATTAGGATGAATTTGTTTGTTCAATAAAACCAGCAAACCTTCCTATTTTCTCCCCCCACCTTTTCCTTAAGAGTTCCTCATAAAATAAACTGAAAGCAAACCAATTTGTAAGACCTATTTGCACAGCTTTGCAAAGTATGCAAAGCATGTGAATTAAGCATCTGTAGGCCATTTTCTTAAACTCAAGAAACTTGGGATTTATAGGCAGAAAATAAGACTCTTGATTTTTAGACTTTGACTGAACTTTTGGCATGAATTTTTCTTTGACCCTGTCAAAGAAAGGTTCATGCCATTAGGTTGCCAGTAAAGTACGAACTGCTAACTTTAATATATTTGAAGTTGTTGACCTACAGCTGCCTTTGCCAGCCTAGTGCCCTCTAGCTTTTTTGGTCCACAACTTCCACCATCCCTGACTATTGGCCATCCTGGCTGGGACTTATTGGAGTTGTAATCCAAAACATCTGAAGGGCACCTATTCAAAGGTTGACTGTGACAATCACTGTATTTCCAGTTTTTTTTTATTGCCTCCATAATAAGCTGCAACTCAGAACTGCTGAGTCAGCTGTGGTTATGACAGTCCATTAAAATACAATAGAAATACTAGATTTTTCTGTGTGTACATGATTATAACTGCATGATTACACTGTGCAGCATGTTTGCGAATCTGAAGACAGAGAAGAAGTGGTAGTATGTGAGTTGTGTGAATCCAGCGTTGTCAGCTTCAATCAACACATGAAAAGAAACCACCCTGGCTGTGGGCGCAGTGCAAACCGGCAGGGCTACCGCAGCAATGGCTCCTATGTGGATGGATGGTTTGGTGGCGAATGTGGAAGTGGGAATCCCTATTACCTCTTGTGTGGCAGCTGCCGAGAAAAATACTTGACCTTGAAGAGCAAGTCTAAGACATCTTCCTCGGAAAGGTACCAAAGACTGTGTAGCCTGTGATGCCCTTTGCTGGAAAAAAGAAAGAAAGGAAAAAGGAAGCACTTTTCATAAAAGAGCTGAACTTCATGAGCCTATATGGTACAGTAACTAGAGTGTTGGGTTGGATACTGAAAGCTTGGTTTAAAATCCTTGCATGGCCAGAAAGCTTCATTGGGTAGCCTTGGGCAAGTCAAGTCTCATCCTAACCCCTGTCACAGGGTCCCCCTGACATCATTAGAAGGGTACAGCTCAGAAGCAGAGCATATCCTCTGAATGGCAAAGGTGCTGGGTCCAATCCCCAGCAACCCTAGTGTGAGATCTTCAAAAGCCGCTGCCAGTCAGTAGACTGTATTGGTCTACACTGACTAATAGTCCAATATTGTTTACAAATTGTCTAAGACCTTGGATAGCTGCTGCCAATTAGATTAGGATTGTTGTTGGACTCAAACTCCCATCAGCCCCAGTCGAATGATGGAAGTTGTAATCCAGCAACATCTGGAGGAGATAGCATCTAACCCTTGCTAGAGCAGAGATGGAGAAATATTTTTGGACTCCAAATCCCTTCGGCCCCAGTCAGCATGGCTGATGGTCTGGAATGATCAGAACTGGAGTCCAAAACATCTGGAGGGCCATGAATTTTCTGTCCAGAAGTAGAGACTATTCACCTAGGTGGGGCCAGTGGTTTGACTTGATATAAGGGTGCCTTCATATGGAGGAAGGTTAGAAATACACAAGCATCAAAACTTATTGGCAGTCCTGTTTGCTCCAGACTTTCAAATGTGAGCTGCTAATGAAGTCCTGTGTAACTTCTTTGCATGAGGGAGAAGAATAAAATTGTCACATTTTAAAATAATTTATGAAATCAAATATTAGACTGTTAAGATAATGTTTTCAAAATCAGCATTTCATTCTGATGCTTTATACAAAGTTTGGGTTTCAATGCCTGACACAAAATCACATACAGACACTCAGTTCTTTGGCCCAGCTATTGCTTGGAACTTGGAACTGGTAGTGTCAGAAGTTTCTGGGGTGCATCTCGAAAGATATTGTGGTGCATCTTTGATAAGACTGTTGAAAAATTGAAGAGGAATCTATATTTCATCAAAAAAACAACAAGAAAATCAAGAAAAGACTACAATACTTAAAAAAAAGAAAAAGATGGGGTGTTCGATTTAACAGCAGATTGTTGTGTTCTCTTTTTGGTGCAGATATAAAGGACAGGCACCCGACCTGATAGGCAAGCAAGACAGTGTCTATGAAGGTACTTCTTTATGTAGGTCTTTTCAGATGACACCAGTGCATAGTTCAAGTTTTGCTTTAAAATAGTATACCTAACTGCAATTTACTGCTCTCATGCTAGAAGACTGGGACATGTTGGATGTTGACGAGGATGAAAAGCTGACGGGTGAAGAGGAATTTGAACTGTTGGCTGGACCCCTTGGGTTGAATGATCGCCGTATTGTTCCTGAGCCTGTTCAGTTCCCGGATAGTGATCCACTGGGAGCCTCAGTTGCCATGGTCACAGCCACCAATAGTATGGAGGAAACACTGATGCAAATAGGTAAACTTTACATAGAGAAATAATTGCCTGAAGTCTTGCACTGTTTTTTCTTGGTCATTATCCTGAACATACTCACTGTGAAATTGCAGCCAAATTAATTGGCTTCATCTGTTTTTAGGTGGTGGTACTATTACTTTGGAATAGATGTTTTTTCATAGCTTCCTCCTGTGTCATCAAAAGCTAGGAAAACTGCAAAACCACTTATTCCCATCTCCCTCCTCCCTTTAAGGATCTGCAGGGAATGTGGTATTGGGAAAGGAAAGCATGTGAGTAGGGTTGAGTAAAAGCAGAAGGGCTTTTTTTGGTACATAAGATGATGTAAGGGACATCCTCTGAAGAAATCATAGGTATGTTGTTGACTCAGTGAGTGGAGTTATTCAGCTACCCCTTCCGTGCAAGAACAATGCTGGCTTCAACCAAAGGACCACTTAGTCCACCGTTTTGTTTCCAACCGTAGTCAGTGGGATGATGAATGATATAGAGATATCAGTGCAGTGCTCCCATCAGTTGAGGTGAGGTAGATGGAAACGGGAGTGAGAGAGGGTTTTGAACTGCCCAGCATTAACTTCAGCATGAGAGATGACCCATTGTGTTTATCTTGAGCAGTTTCTGTCACTCGAGTCCTTGGGGAAAGTGCAGGTTAACCTCCTGAATTAGGTCTCACACTTGCAACTGCCGTCACTTTTAAAAAACATTTAAACATTGATGAGTTAACTTTTTATTTAAAATGTTCAAGGTGACTTGCAAAACATAGAATTATTTGGGTATAAATTTGCACATGCTGCAATGCTTCCTTTTCTTGTCACTCCTTGAATTCAAGGTTGCCATGGCTCCATAGAAAAAAGTTCTTCTGGCAGAATTACTCTGGGAGAACAAGCTGCTGCTCTGGTAAATCCACACGACCGTGTTATGGCTTTAAGAAGGGTGACGGCGGCAGCTCAAGTCCTCTTGGCAAGAACAATGGTCATGAGAGCCCTCTCACTCCTTTCTGTCAGGTTTGTCAAGCTCTAGAGGACCTGATTTGAACAATGACCCTGTGATTGTTAGCTTGTGGTGTTATCTGAAACAAAATCCAAAGCAAAATAGAAACTAAGCAACTTTTGAATATGGTAAAAAATCTGCTAGATAACACAAGGAGAATAGGGCTAATTCCCATCTTAGTGCAAGCTTTCCAAAGTAGCCACGTGTTAATTTCAAAGCAAGTTTCTCCCCCCCCCCCCCTCTAGATAATCCCTTTTCTTTAGTAACAAGAATAAATTCTGAACACTGGCAATCCCTCTGTGTCTCAGGGATACCTAGCATGGTATCACCCAAATGTTGTGAACTATAACTCCTATTATCCCTGACAATTTGCCAAGCTGACGGGGGCTGATGAGAGTTGTCCAAAACGTCTTGAAAGTGCCACATTGGCTACCCCTCATATTGCTCTATCCAGTGGTCCAAATGTGGGGACACTCTCCATTCACAGTCTATTGAAACAAAGGAAAATTTGACCAGGGGGCAGGGCTACTAGGAGGCACCTCCCACTTCTAGGGCTCATGTTCTCCTGCATCCACAGCAAACAGATGTAGATTGCCAGTGTCCTTTCCTTCCTTTTCCCTGGTCCTGATTGCAGACATAATGATGGTATGCTGCTCTGACACTGACTTTCTGAGGACTGACTTAATATTCTCCTTGACAGAAAAACAATAACTTGTACTCTTTATCCTATACTCGGTTTAGAGACATAGGGGCTGCTTTGTACTGTGTCAGACCAACTCGATCAATATTGTGTACCCTGACTAGCAGCAGTTCTCCAGGGTTTGAGGCAGGGAACATTTCTAGCCCAACTTGGAGGTTGATTCTCTACCACTGAGCTGCAGTCCTTTGGTTTTTTATGACCACTGCAATGTATAATAGATGCCTTGAAATGTGAATGCTGTGTTTGTGTGGGGTGTCAGTAGGCAGAAAAAAACTTGCCTTTTTTTCCTCAACAGTGGGTCTAGTTGCAGTCTTGCAGCTGGGCTT